GTGGCCCAAAATTAATATATCTGGATACTCTGGCCAAGTTTGCACTTTTCCTGTATCCAGTTTGTCATCATTTGACCTATGGTTCTTTAGATTTGAGCCAGGAGCCTAGAGTCTCACCTACTAAACTTATATTTGACAGCTCTTGCAACCACATGAGTCAGGAGATGCTTCCAGCCTGAAGTCTGACCCACATATGTGGGACTTTCCAGCCTCCATAGCTACATGAGCCATATAATTTTAAAATATTAGAGAGGTAGATAGATAGATAGATAGATAGATCTATAGATAGATAGATATATAGATGATAGATAGATAGATAGATAGATAGATAGATAGATAGATAGATAGATAGATAGATGGATGGATGGATTTATACAGTGAGAAGGAATGTAACAGCTAAGTAGGCCCTACAGTAGTAGAGGGTTCAGTTCAACTCCCATGCAACAGTTACTATACTGGAAGTCCTTCAACTCATGTGGACTGGCAGGTCCAAGGTCAAGGACACAGACAACAGACTCCTTCCTGGGGCAAGGCAAGCAGAGTCTGTCCACAGGCAGCAAGCAGCAGGGTGGGTCACCAACAGTCATTAGCTCAGGAGCTTAGTGAAGCAGGCCTGGGTGGGATATCGAATGCAAACAATGCATTCACCAGCTTCAAGCTCAAGCGATGTGGCAAAGCAAGTCTCGAAGGAGCCTCAAGCTCTAGCAACACGATCCATGGATTGGCCTGGCCGACAGCTGGTATAGCTCACAGGCTGAAGCAGAGAACTAGCTATAACAGCAGCACGCACACTCCAGCACGCTCCAATCACCAGAGAGCAAGAAAGAGAGGGGCCGGCCTTGCAGAGGCATCTCTTTGCCCTCCAATCAAACTGTGACCTGATTAATCCCACATGTTACTATTTTCCAGATTGGCACAACAAACCTACCTATCACAAAGTGCTACTGGGTGACCTCAAACTTCCAATCTTTCCATTAATAGCACTACTCTGGAACTCATCTTTTTTTTATAAACCAAACAAAATGATCAACAACAACAAGATCAAATTAATGCAAAGAAAGAAAAAGTTGCCATCAAGCTGATTCTAACTTAAGTTGTAAATCGTTCAGCATTTGACCACTTACCCAAAGATTGACAGTTCAAATCTAC